AGAAAAAAGAATTTCAAACAATTTATGAATGTTCACTATTTAATCTTTATAGCACTGCCCTAACTCTAGAACCCCTAACCCAGGGGCCATAAAATTCACAATTTTGGAAGGGGCAGTCATATTCAACTTACTTAACTATGCACTTGGTTAGGTTATCTAATGCCCAGGAGCAGTAAAGAAGAATTTCACAGAAATAATGCGTTTTCCCTATATAATCTATTTAGCCCCGCCCTAGCACTAGGACCCCTGACCATGGGGCCATGAATTTAACAATTTTGGTAGAGGACTCGATGATGATTACAATCATACCAATAGTTTTACTGCATGATGTCCAGGAGTAAAAAGGATTTTTAAAGATTGCACTTATTTTAGTGGTTTTGCCCCCCCCCCTCCAAGGCCCCAGGGACCATGAAATTCAGAATTTTTGTTTCCCTTCACCCATAGATGCTTTACGCCAAAATTGGTTGAAATTAGTTCAGCGGTTTCAGAGAAGCTACAAATGTTAACGCACGACGAACGATGACGGACGAAAACAGATAGCAATAGGTCACCTGAGTTTACTCAGGTGACCTAAAATATGAGTTGTATATGAAAACAATATTTGGTGTCATACATACATTACGAATGAAAGAAAAAGTGAGCAAGCTCACATACCCCACGCTCCCCCAAAACTCAAAGTGCTGAAAATCCCGGAAAAAATGAAAGAATCGGAATTTCCCGGTAATATGCACATCTGCATATTGTGTCCTAAATATTTGCAAAGTTTGATGAAATTCTGTGCAGCGGTTTATGAGGAGTTGCGCTGACAAACTGTTCATCACTATATTCAAGATATCCCCAAAAATCTAAGTTGTAAAGTGCCGAAATTCCCAGAAAAATAAAGGATTCGGAATTTCCTGGTAAAATGCACATCTATACATTGTGTCCTAAATATCTGCCAAGTCTGACGAAATTCTGTGCAGCGGTTTATGAGGGGTCGCACTGACAAAATGTTCATCTGTATATTCAAGGTATGGCCAAAAATCTAATTTGAAAAGTGCCAAAATTCCCAGAAAAATAAAGGAATCGGAATTTCTACACACTGTGTAATATGTTTGACACATCTACACACTGTGTCCTAAATATGTCTAAATACCTGCAAAGTTTGACGAAATTCTGTGCAGCGGTTTATGAGGAGTTGCAAACTGACAAAATCTTCATCTCTATATTCAAGGTATGGCCACAAAATCTTCATCTCTATATTCAAGGTATGGCCAAAAATCTACGTTAAAAAGTGTGGAAATTCTAAGAAAAAATAAAGGTATCGGAATTTCCTGGTAGTATGCACATCTACACATTGTGTCCTAAATACCTGCAAAGTTTGACGAAATTCTGTGCAGCGGTTTATGAGGGGTTGCGCTGACAAACTGTATAAAAGGTATGGCCAAACACCTAAGTTTTTAGTGCGGAAATTCCCGGAAAAAATAAGGAATCGGAATTTCCTGGTAATATGCACATCTACATATTGTGTCCTAAATATCTGCAAAGTTTGACAAAATTATGTGCAGCGGTTTATGAGGATTTGCGCTGACAAACTGTTCATCTCTATATTCAAGGTATGGCCAAATGCCTAAGTTAAAAAGTGCGGAAATTCCCGGAAAAAATAACGGAATCGGAATTTCCTGGTAATATGCACATCTACACATTGTGTCCTAAATACCTGCAAAGTTTGACGAAATTCTGTGCAGCGGTTTATGAGGAGTTGCGCTGACAAAAAAAAAGGACTGACTGACGGACGGGTCAAAAACATTACACCTCACGCAACTACATGTAGTTGCGTGGGGTATAATTAAAATCATATAAGAAAACATGAGCGCTTCCTCAATGGTCAGAATATTACAATGTTGTATGTGGTTGATAGGAAGAAACACATTTGTTATATGTAGCAAGAGTTATCTTTCTTCTAAATATTATTTTGTTAGGGAAAATTGCAAAATTACCGATAAAAATTCTGCATTTGGTTGTTGAAGCATTAAACCATTTTAAAAATGGTCATTGAAATGATAGAACTTATTCGATTTATAAGGCTTTAAAGAATGGTTTTCAAAAGTTAAAAAAAAAAATAGAAGATAATGTTTTCAACATATATTAGATTTGGTCAAATTGACTACTCAAGAAGGGAATTCTGATACAGAAAACTACGAGTAGTATTCAGCTTTTGGACTTTGAAGGTTATCTCACTTATCAGAGGGTCGGTACCCCTTAATAGGAGTATAAAATGTACATAATGTAGACTTTTCATCCCTGTAATGTCAACTTTTCTGTCAATATTCATCATGGTTTGGAGCATACTAGTACTGGTATTTTAGGCATCGAATTAGGTGTGAGACATAAATGCCATTTGCAGTAAAAAACGTCATATTACTACAGGGAGGTTGACGAAAAAGAACTTCTTTGATACATGCAGATTACGTAGGAAATGAATAATAAAAGGTGAAATGTCTCAAAGTTTACAAGGGTTGTCATTTTTGTTCTTGAGAAGAGAAATGGTTACCAAACAACCAAGCTCTATCATAAACGTGATGACTTTCATTTTTCAATCGTCAGCTTCCCTTCCTTATACAGTAGCACACTTTCATCACCTGCATACGGATTTACGGATTTATATATCCCAGTTGATTCGATACATGTACGCAAGAGCATGATCCCCGTATGTACAATTTGTAATACTAGGTAGATTATTGACAAAAACAAGTCTAAGAAACAAGAATATCAAGTCTCGTTTAAACTCATCATTTCGTAAGTTCTGTGGTCGAATATCAGTGACCTTCTCAGCAAATACAATTTATCATGGGGTCAAATGCTGGCTGACGTGTTTCATACGAAATGTTAGTCTATGATTTACACACTGCATTGACGACGGAGTTTCCGTTATTTCCCGATCATGACAAAGAGCTCACGGCGGGAGAGACCGGTCGACAGGCGATGCTCACTCCTCCATGGCACCTGATCCCACTTCTGGCTTACATTATGCATCTTGACACATGCATCTAAACTCATGCTTCTATGTTGATGCGTCTTCTTATTTACACTATGTGTCTTGACACATGCATTAATATTTTAGAATACTTTATAGGGATGAAATTTATCTCCTTAAAAAGTAACAAAACCTTGAAATTCCCTTTCCAGTTTTATTTTAGCTGAACGAATCCTTCCTAATTTCCCTTTTTATGATAATTCTTGGAAGATAAAATTTATATACATTTATAAAAAAAATCTCTTCAATACATACTAATAATCAAATTAGTTAGTTTATAGCTCTACTGGTCAGCGACTAGAAGAGCTTATGCGATAGTAATGCGTCCGTCGTCTGTCCGTCTGTCTGTCTGTCTGTAAACAATTTTTCAAAATGCTACTCCTCCTACAGTTTTGGTCTGATTTCAATATTACTTGGCACACAAGTAGACTACACTAAGGTACATAATTCTGTGTATCGGTTTTTGATTTCGATGAAGAGTGTTGCCGTGGTTACTAACCAGAAGTCTCTGTCGAGACTGTAGCTCTACTGGTTTGTACCAAGAAAGAGAAAAGTAGCAGGTGGGACTTAAAACTTTACAAGCTAGAGCAATAAATAGATTAATGATCCTTGATTAAGTCTCTTTTTGAGGCAAGATTGCAATAAGACTACAACTGTGGAAGAAGCTTTTCATAAAACTTTACAGATTTTTCAATTTAAATTACTATGGTAACATAAATCATCAAAATCCAAAACACAAAACTGATAATTATGTATCTCAGTGTAGTCTGCTTTAGCTGCAATAATGTAGCCCTCTCCGATTTTTTTTTTTTTTGGGAGAGGGCTACAACTCCTTAGGATCTCTATAATGGTGCAGATGCGGCAGTGGATCACTCCCGCACGAATTTCGGCTCAAATTATCAGTAAACGGCTATTTTATTATCATTTGTTACCTGGAATCCAAATATGTAATTATGCAAAACACAAATCGATCCAAAAATATTCACAACGATCCATATATCGGTTATTTTTCGTGTGTGTCAACAGCTTAACTTGAATTTATCCGCCATGTTTACCGACCTTGATGGATTGTATTTTGGGACAGCCAATGAGAATTTAGGTTCTATAGGGGCGGATCTACTAGGAATTCCCTTATTTTAAGCATACGTATCGCTGTTTGCGCAAAAATAACACTTGAAATGGTTTTATTTATTGATGTTTTTGTAATATATTATAGCATAATCGTTTATAAACATCGACATTTGCTTTATTTGGTTGTTCCAAATGTCAAGCGAAAGTCTCACTACGTCACGCGTGAACTGTCATGGCTGCTGAATATTGCAGCTGGGAAAGACACAGATTTATTTTACATGGTTTTCGAGTTTAACAGGCTATGTTGTTGACAGTTAATAAAAATTCCGTCTTATAAGAAGTAAGTTTAATGTAAAAATAATTTATTTTGCCTCCAATCACCCGTATCAAAAAAATATATTTGCACCATTACGGAGATGCGATGGAATTGTAGCCCTCTCCAGAAAATATCAGATAAAAAAAATCGGAGAGGGTTACATTATTGCAGCTAAGTCTGCATGTGTGTCAAGTTGTATTAAAATCAGACCAAAACTGTAGTAGGAGTAGCATTTTGAATGTATTTCAAAAAATTTCTATTTTTAGTAACCATGACAACACCGTTCATTCAAATCAAAAACTGATAAATAGAATTATGTATCTTAGTGTAGTCTACTTGTGTGCCAAGTTATATTGAAATCAGATTAAAACTGTAGGAGGAGTAGCATTTTCAATGATTTTCACAAATTTTTAGTAACAACGGCAACACCATTCATCGAAATCGAAAACCGATACACAGAATTATGTATCTTAGTATAGTCTATTTGTGTACCAAGTTATTTTGAAATCAGACCAAAATTGTAGGAGGAGTAGCATTTTGAAAGAATTTCATAGAAATTCCTATTTTTAGTAACCACGGCAACACTGTTCATCGAAATCAAAAACCGCTACACAGAATTATGTATCTTAGTGTAGTCTACTTGTGTGCCAAGTTATATTGAAATCAGACTTAAACTGTAGGAGAAGTAGCATTTTAAAGGATTTTCACAAAAATTTCTATTTTTAGTAACCATCGCAACACCGTTCATCGAAATCAAAAACCGATACACAGAATTATGTATCTTAGTGTAGTCTACTTGTGTGCCAAGTTATATTGAAATCAGACAAAAACTGTAGGAGGAGTAGCGTTTAGAAAAATTGTTTACAGACGGACAGACAGACAGACGGACGGACGACGGACACATTACTATCGCATAAGCTCTTCTGGCCCCAAGACAATAAACTGAGAACAGACTTAAGTCAAATATTTGATTTTTAATATCTTAAATTTCATCCAATGTATTAGCCTAAAATTTTGCAATTTAAAACATGTCACACAAGTCAAACATATGACGAAAATTTCATTTTATTATGAAAATCATTTCCAAAGTTATATTGATTTGAAATTTTTACTAAAGTCTGTTCTTAGTTTATGGTCTTGGGGCCTGGTCTCTGACCAGTAGAGCTAAAAATAGAAATTTCTGTGAAATTCTTTCAAAATGTTACTCCTCCTACAGTTTTGGTCTGATTTCAGTATAACTTGGCACACAAGTAGAATACACTAAGATACATAATTCTGTGTATCGGTTTTTGATTTCGATGAACGATGTTGGCGTGGTTACTAAAAATAGAAATTTCTGTGAAATTCTTTCAAAATGTTACTCCTCCTAGTTTTAGTCTGATTTCAATATAACTTGGCACACAAGTAGACTACACTAAGATATACAATTCTGTGTATCGGTTTTTGATTTCGATGAACGGTGTTCCGTGGTTACTAAAAATAGAAATTTCTGTGAAATTCTTTCAAAATGCTACTCCTTCTACAGTTTTAGTCTGATTTCAATATAACTTGGCACACAAGTAGACTACAATAAGATACATAATTCTGTGTATCGGTTTTTGATTTGGATGAACGGTGTTGCCGTGGTTACTAAAAATAGAAATTTCTGTGAAATTCTTTCAAAAATGCTACTCCTACTACAGTTTTAGCCTGATTTCAATATAACTTGGCACACAAGTAGACTACACTAAGATACACAATTCTGTGTATCAGTTTTTGATTTCGATGAACGGTGTTGCCGTGGTTACTAAAAATAGAAATTTCTGTGAAATTCTTTCAAAATGCTACTCCTTCTACAGTTTTAGTCTGATTTCAATATAACTTGGCACACAAGTAGACTACAATAAGATACATAATTCTGTGTATCAGTTTTTGATTTCGATGAACGGTGTTGCCGTGGTTACTAAAAATAGAAATTTGTGAAATTCTTTCAAAATGCTACTCCAAATACAATTTTAGTCTGATTATAATATAAATGTGGCATGCAAGTAGACTGCACTAAGAACATAAAGAGACTTAATCAAGGATCATTATTCTATTTATTGCTGTTGAAAAGTTTCAATTTCCAACTGCTTAAGTACTTTTCTCTTCCTTTGCTATAAGTACAAACCAGTAGAGCTTCAGTCTCGACAGAGACTTCTGGTTGTAATTGTAGTTTTAATTGGTATTTTCTTTATTTTGTGTATCTTGGGAAGCAATTTTTGCAACCATATGGAGGAATATAAGGCTTATGATTCAATCTCAACTCTGACCTTTCTTTTCATTGATCAGTTCCATGCATCTTGACACACGGAATAGAACTATTCGATCTGTCAAGATGCAACACCTATTACATCTGACACAAGGGGTATTCACACTGTGAATTTAGATACATGCATCCAAGATGCATGTGTCAAGATGCATAGTGTAAACCGGTCTTGATGTTTTGGTGGTCTGTGTTTGCTCTGCTCCTATTTTTTATTGTTTGATGGACTTTTGAGCTTGAACACTGTTCATTATCTCCATATATTACATTTATTTCCCTACTCCCTATTGCCAAAAATATATAATGTTTCTAGAGGAAAATGTCCCACATATCTTAAACATCGTGGCGCATTCATTTTTGACATATAACCGTACGGAAAAGAAACTGTGCAGATATATTGATTAACATAAAAGGACTTAAGTATTTGACAAACTAAGTTTAATTATGCTGTAAAAATCTCAGATTAGAACTTGGGTTCCTCTGAAAGAGGAGAATTTTGAAAAGAGAGGTGTACTTTTGGTATAGATTTATACTTGATGTTGAATGCACCTAGCTTAAACATATGGCATTTGAAAGACCAAGTGCAACAATACATTAATTTTATCACTGAGCCTATTCTGATCAGAGACAAGAAAGGGCTTAACGATAGTACAGTGTCCATCCGACTGTTTGTCCATCATTCATCAAAAATACTCCTACTCCTACACTTATGGTGTGGTTTCAGTATAACATGGTACAAAAGAAGAAAATTATTACACTTAGATACTAAATTTTTATTCGTTTTTTATCTGATTTCAGTTTAACTTAGCACAAATATCGACTGCACTACGATATATTCTTTTTATCGTTTTTCTTTTCGATGAACGACTTGCGAAATATACTAAAATATTTTTTTTGGTTTAAAAATATTAAACGCTTCCCCTCCTACATGTCTTTTTTAATTTCAAGATATCTAGACTAGCAAATAGACTTTTAAGGATACATAATTTTATTCATCAGTTTGTGATATTCTGCTGTTGTCATTCTAACCCGATATGAAAATATCTTAATTTTTTGCAAAAGGCTACTCCACCTACAGTTTTAGTCTGATTGCAACAAATCATGTCACAAGAAGAATCTTAACGAATGATCTTTGTTTTTTTTTAATTTACTTCCAAATCGCAGTGCGACTTTACTCTTCTGCTGTTTTAAGAATAAAGCAGTAGAGCTCAAGTCTCATCAGAGACTTTTTTTCTCAACACAGTTCTGCAATTTCACTCTTGTAATTCGTGCTACTTGCACCCAGGAATGATAAAAGCATTCTCAGATTACAAAAATAAAAAAAAAACTATCAACAATACAATATATTAAACCCTTACTATTAAAAAAAAAGTATGGTGAAAAAATACTCAATTATTATTCGATTATATTAGCAAACCATTAGCAATATACTTCATTACTCTAATATGATATCTTAATTACATTTAATAGAGAATAAACATCCAAGCCATTAAAAGAAGCATTTGCCTGATCAATGTCAACAAGCGCCAACAAATGTCAACAAATACTGCTTAAGTTGATTTGTTGATGGTATTCGCACACTTGGGATCATTGCAAACGCTCAAAAAACGTTAAAAATGTCCAAAACAGACAGCTCGTTATCAAGACTCCAAACTTTGAATAAGTCCCTTTTTCAGCGATTTTTTTTAGAAATTGAATTATCTCAGCGTTCTGTAAACCCCACTTGACCCTCTGAGGAATTCCTAGAATAGAATATGGAAAAGCCAGCGACAAGTAATGCAATTTGTAAGTTAAAGGGGATTGTGGGTCGCTCTGTTTTATATCAATTTTTCAGACACAAACATACAGTTCGTATATTCGAATTTTAATATCCGGTATACCTACGGACGTTGGTTGCGTTCCAGACAAAAAAATTATATATATAGAAATATATTCCATCACAGAGAGATATTATGTATACAGTTTTGGTCTAATATTTAGTCTAAAAAATTATTTTATAATATCCCTTAAATGGAATAATGCAACATTTCAAATGACTATAATTTATTAGTGTAATGCAGAAATTTTCTAAGTTCGGAATATTTCTTTGGGAAATGACCAATGCATGTTTAACTTTTATCGTGTTAAAACAAAGCTATTGTGACAGCATTTTTTCAATGGAGGAATCGGTTATTTTTCGGGACTCAGTTCACTTAATTTTTTAAAACTCAAAATCGACTTATCGTACCTAACATTTTCCTGACAAAAAGTCACATTCAAAAATTAATATTTTTTTAAACGAGCAAATATGACAAACTTTATCAAATTTGAAAATTGCTTAAGGGAAGCGGACACTTTTGAGATGGGTTTAATGGCCCCAGGAAAGCATGAAAGAGCCATAGCTGCCTTACCGACGACATTTAAAAGGAAATCATCTGTTTCTAATTATAGATACATGTAACCTTTTTAATTCAAGATCAAGCTACATGTATGTTATCATTTGTGGGCAGAGTGTTATATTTTCATAGTTGCAAATTTGTTACATGACAATCATTTTACTTGTTTAATACTCTTACTCTAAACAAGATTTTTAGAAAATAATAAAAATAAAACAAGCTAGCAGCTATGACTTTGGGTCATTAAAATATTTTAGGACTGTTTTCTTTTTTCCCGAGATACTTTCAAGGTGTAATGTTGTATTAAATATCTCTTACATTATTTATACATGTATTATAAAATAATAAAAGAAAACATACGAAAAATGCACAGAGAGAAAAAGATAAAAGCATAGAGAAGAAACATACACTGTGAGACTCGAACTCCGATCATTAAGTCTACAATCCAGCAATCATACCACTACGCCACGAAGTCATTGTAATTTAAGGGACAAATTTAAGACAGATCGTTGAATCTTAAAATAATTTTGAGAAGAACAAGATGTGTTTGTTAAACACTGATGCCCCCGTATGGCAACATAGCGAAGATTAAACTTTTCTTAATGCAAATTTAATTAATTGGTACCAAAAGTAGGGTATTCTCACTGGAAAACAATTGTGAAATTTGAAAGTAGGCCAATGTTAGAATTTTTTCAATAAGTACAAAAATCACCAAGGTCAAAAGGTCAAGGTAATTGGTATACAATGAAAGGTCTTGCCACATAGAATACTTATGTAGAGTATGGAAGCCCTAACTCTATCCGTTCAGAAGTTATGGCCAAGGCTAATTTTTTTTTAAAGTAGTTCAAACTCCAAGGTCAAGGTCAAAGTTCTTGTTATCAAATGAAAGGTCTTGTTACAAGAAAAAAATATGTAAAGTATGAAAGCACTAGCCCTAATCCTTTAAATGTTATGGTCAATTTTTGCTTTTTTAAAGTAGGTCAAGGTCAAAGGGTCAAAGTTCTTGGTATCCAATAGAGGGTCTTCTCACAAGGATTAAATATTTGAAGTATGAAAGCCCTATCCCTTTCCATTCAAAAGTTATGGCCAAGGTTAAAGTTTTTTCACAAGTGCGGAAATTTACAAGGTCAAGGTCAAAAGG